AGGACATGGCTACGTGCACAGGACAAGAGCTGGTACCGGCAAGGCATGCATGCACTTGTTCCACGCTGGTGTAAAACCGTACAAGTTGATGGGGACTGTGTGGAAAAATAGTATGTGTAAAGGAAACATTGATTTATATTGTCACTAAATTTCAGTCATCTTGAATAAATAAATTCTGAAGAAAAAATGTGGGGCATTATTTAATGAGCGACCCTCGTACAAACTGCATATTTTGATGTTGGAACACTTATGATATGTTGCAGCTAAGGTGAAGCAAGTAGCAGAATTGAATGTTGGAATATTGACTCAGTGTGTGAAGGGAAGAACAATGCAACGTATGAATGCTGCCACATGTTCGAACATTCTGTTGAAGGTCAACTCCAAGCTGAATGGTATAAACCACTCTTTGGCTTCAGTATCAAGGTGATCAGTTGTGCAATAAGTCTTCATGTTCTTAGAGCAGTTTGTAGTAAATTTTCTTTCCATTCATGAGTGATAACACATTGTTGTAGCAGTGATAATGCGACTGGCTTGGTAGTGAAGCGTTATTTGTTTACTCGGCATTGTTGTGTTCCACAACAATGCCGAGTTTGTTTATAGTTGACATTGTTGATGACGTAATTTCTTGAAGACAACGAGGAATCACAAATTTTTATAGTAGATCATGAGTGATAACACATTGTTGTAGTTGACTAGTTTTCTGACATTCTGGAGAATCTGTCTTTCTCCATTTCCAAGACAAAGTGATTGATAAGCAACTTGATGCTGATATTTGTAGTTCATTCATCTGTTTCACTAACTTTCTCCAGAAGCAATTTGAGAATAATGGCCCTGAAAAGGAACTAGAATTCTTATTTGCTTTCCTGCTGGTCACACATTCACCAGTCAGAATGTATTGATTTCCCAATGCTTCCTGTCCCTTATCTATAATATTGGTGCTGTGACATATTCAGTCACTGTGTTTGAACATGGAAACAGCCAGATTATTTGAAACCTCAGAATATCAACCCACCACAACAGTAATATCACCCAAAATTGGAATGGTAGCAGTCTTTAATTTTGTGTTTATAATTGGTTTTTCATTTTGTTTCTTAAGAAGTTGTTCATTGCCTTCATTCTTCCTCACATAAAATGTTTGTAGTTCTCCCTTTTTTTATTCTTGTTAACATGACTCCAAGCCAGATTTCACTCCCAGCCTTGGCTGTATATTAATTTGATAACGTCACATTACAATAATATCTTTTCACATCATTTTTCGCATTACTCTTTATATTTGTTAACTTATAAATGCTTCCTTGTATTATTATGTAGGATATTTTAAGAATTTGTATGGTATTTTTTGCCTTTCAATGTTGGGCATTGAATTGTGGGAATTGTGTACTTAACCAATTGTAAAACATCCTCCTCTTAAGCATATTACACCACTCCATGTTTGTATTCTCTTTGTATGGATAGTTGAAATTAGTTTCTAGCTTCTGACGACATTACAGAGGTTAGCATCGATAACCATGACATTACCATCAACATTGTGAGATATTTTGCTGTTATAAAATATGATTTGCTTCATATACATTCAATTTTCTTTTTATTTATTTTTGAGTGTCCTGTTCAGTATTAAGCGTAAATAGTTGAGGTCCTTAGAATACATATTACAGTACTGAGATTTGAATGTACAGAGGTCATTTGGAAATGATTAGGACTTGCCTGGGATACAGGATGAGAGATGATGACAACCACACAGTCTCACTTTAGCATACTCCACATACACCCTGCTGAGAACAATATACCACTGCCATCTTTCTGGTAATTTCTTGATAGATGCAGCAAACTAATCTTTCGGGATGGTACACATTGACTTGCAGACACTGTCTGCAAGTCATCTTTGTTCAGCAGCTGGTATGGGTTCTGGCATTGTCATGTAGCAGCAACATTTTCTCTGCCCATTCATCTTTCTGTCATTGTTGGATTTTCAGACAAAATATGTAAGCCACCTATTCTCTAATTGTGATTTCTAAAGCAATGTCTGTTAAGTGTGTACTATCCCAAAAAACTTGTTTGCTGCATCTGCCAGAAAGATGGCAGTGGTGCATTGACTTCAGTAAGGGGTATGTAGAATGTGATTGTGTGGCTGTCTTCATCAATTCTTAGCTTGCATTTGAGTCAAGTTCAAATCATATCTGGACAACCCTCATATTTTTAGTAGTACACATCTGTAGTGAACATATTATGCTAGCAGCAGTGAAATGACAACACAATTTTGTGTTTTATTAATTGGAAACTTTGTTGCAAATTAAAGTTTCAAGAATCACTGTGTTCTGTTATTAGGCCACCATGTTTGAAAAAACCTATCATGATAGTAGGAGCTGATGTGACTCATCCATCACCTGACCAGACTGACATTCCTTCAGTTGCTGCGGTGAGTATATTGTGCTCTGAAGTTGTTTGCAGTTTTAATGTTGTAATTTTTGTAAATATTTTTAATTTATGTGATTTCTGTACATCTTATTGTCTACTTCAGAAACTATTACCATGTCATCATATTTTCACAACACATGTATATGTGTGTGTGTGTGTGTGTGTTAATGCCATAGACGTCTTCAGATTCCCAGCTGCCGTTTTCTCCATCCATCGTCTTTCTCCTGTTTGTTTTTGCCATTTCATCCTGGGTTCCTTTCATCCATTCCACTCTTGGTTTTACTCTATTCTCCCTTTCTGGTGACATCTGCTTGAGTACTTGTTTAGGCCATCTGTTATCTGCTATATAATCAAGATAAATAAAATAGCCATTTTTTCATTTGCCTTATATACTTGCAAAATGTGATATCTTACTTTGAGATGACAACATACTGTATTTACACAGCTGTAAATTGAAAGTTTATTTTTATTAACAAATGTGGGGTCAAATTCATGAATGAAGGTAAATATGGGGAGGGAAAGAAAGAAAGAAAAACACACCTCTCAGTTTCTGTGGAATCTCAAAATTTGTGCATCCATAGAATGTTGTATCTATGCGAATGTAATTCAGAAACAGTATTCGTTGGATATTTGTTACCGTTACACTAGTTCTGTATTTTTGTACCTGTGCTTTTCCTTTTGAATTGCATTTGTAATGATGCTGCCATCAGATCCAAGTGGAAGAAATTATTGATACAGAGATTCCTTTATCCTGTTGAACTGCGTGTTATTCCAATTTTAATCTATGGCTGTTAGGTATGCAGAAAATACCAATAAGTACATGAAGAATGGCATTACTGGGGTTTTTGAGTTTATTGGAACAAATACAGCAACCATGGAGATAGATAGATAGATGGATATATATATATATATATATATATATATACACACACACACACACACACACACACATATTTTTGATCCAGGAACACGCACACAAAGTTTGTAAACATACTTTTGACTCACTCTGTATGTGTGTGTGCATATCATCATCAATAACTTTACAGATTAGGCCTTTGGGCCTGTTCCATCTCCTCGGGTTAATAATAGCTGGTCCTTCCATTTATTTGGTTGTCTGATGTTCCTTCTTCCTGATGGTTCATAGAGCAGTAGTCTGTGTGGAGGCATTCTGGTCACGTGTTCATACCAATTTTTCCTATATGTGCTGATAATACTGGTGATATATATATATAAAATATTTTATGGCCCTGAATGACCTCTTATGAAGAGATGGCAGGGGGGGAGGGTCATGTGTGTACCTAAGACTTTTGCCCCAAATTTTATGCTTGTTTTTTATAAAAAATGTTCACTGTGAAGGGGATTGTCTTGTATCTGCACTTATCTTACGGTAGGATAAATACAGTAAATTACAAGTGTTTGAAAACAAAATTATAAGGAAATATTTGGATGTGCAAGTAACGTAAGCAGGCAAAAGTCAGTGTAGTTTACTTATTTGGTGACAGATGCATTATATTTTTATGAAAGATATGTGGTACTCTTGAAGCATTATTTTTGAGTACTTTGTTTACAAGATATCTCCTTAAAACTGATAGTATTCCAGAGTGTTTTCATTCCTGACTTACAGAAAAGCATGATTATTATCATGCATGATCTTGCTTTTTTATTAATGTAATTGACACTGATGTTGAATGTAATAGGTAACTGCCAGCCATGACCCAAAGGCTTTCCAGTACAATATCCAGGTTAGATTACAACCTCCAAGGGTAGAGATCATTGAAGACCTGGAAGATATCATGAAAAAGCAACTTTTATTCTTTCACAAAGCCACTCAATACAAACCACAGGCGATAATATTCTTTCGAGACGGTGTAAGTGAAGGGCAGTTTGCACAGGTAAGCACAATTTGAAACAAAGTATAGAAACTAATGTGTATGGAAGAACATTGCAGTATATTGAGTTCTTTTGTTGCTTTACATTGTTTGGGCTGGATAACATGGCACTTCCTGGTAGGTTCAGATTTTGTGTGTTCTTCACACTCTATTGAGTAAAGAGCACCTTATGCCCATCAGTCTGTCAGTAACACTTTTGAAGGGGTATTTAACCTGCATGACAGGTCAGTGTATCTACAGGGGGACTCAATGTGGATGAGGGGGTTTCTGCAGGGATTCTCAACATGTGTGGCTGGTGGTAGGGGGGTTATAGTTCCTGTGGGTACTAAGTGTGCATGACCTGAGATGACAGTGCAAGAATGACCTAGGATGCAATATGACCTTTGATCACATCAGTGCAACAACAACCAATATGACAAGGTGTGGGAGGCAATTTTTTCACACAAAAAAGCTTTGGTAAATTTAGAAGTTTATTCATATTCCATCTACTGATATTGTCAGTTTTTGTAATATATTAATTTTTATGTTTTATGAAAAATGGTGCTAATATGCCATACTAATATATCAGCAAATGATTAACGCTGCTGTTAGATCTCCTAGTTTATTATGTCTAAAGCACCCCACATCAAACACCATTTTTATTCATGGGATTTGAAGTTCACAAAGCAGTGAAGCTATTGAAGTTGGTCTTCAGGGTTGTAAGGACATGTGGACTTGTAGGCATATATGCCATGTGAACTTATGGATAGAAACCTACAAGACCACACAGTATTACAACCCAGAAGACAAACAGTGACACTATTTTAATTGTTTCCTAATAACTTGAACTGTATATTTGGAGGCCTCACACCAGATCTGGACAGGTGGCAAAGAGAACAAGATTAGAAAGGTGTACTCTTTGCAACACATTGACATTTCAAATGTGTTCTTCATGCCACATCACATACTAATAGTGGCATCTTTCTTTCTAGAAGAATCACACTTACTCCACTGGAGCAGTGATATTACATATAAACTGCATTAGGACACTGTTGTAATTTTTCTGTGTCCCTCATCCTTCACACAGTAATATAACAATGGCCATTGTGTAGTATTGGAGCCAGGATAGCCCAATCAGTATAGTGACTAGCTATGGGCTCCATGACAGTTTCGATCCCTGATGAGGACAGAGGATTTTTCCTCTAGCTTCTACGTCCAGACCGGCTCTGGGTCCCAGTCAGCCACCTATTCAATGGGTACTGGGCTCCTTTCCCGGGGGTAAAGCGTGGTCGGGGCTTGATGTCACCACTCACCCCCATCTAGTGCTGAGGTCAAAAATGAGTAGGAGCTATATACCACCTCTCCCCCCAAGCGACATACGTGGCATGTAGCAGGACTGCTTTACTATTATTGTGTGGTATTAATTCCCATAATATATGTTTAAACACTCCAGTATTCGTGCTTCAAGGACCAGTCATGCAAAAGATTCGCCATTATACTAGTCAGGTTCTGTACTATTAATAGTTGTTATTAACTGAGCTCTTTTACATACCATGGATGTTTGTGTGGTTGTAGTATTTCCAATTTGGATGGAATTTAAGTCAGTGACATGTCAAGATAGCAGACAGTGGAAGAATCTGGAATTGGCAGTGGTGATGGTATTTACAAGATATGATCTATTTACAAATCATTTGATTTTAAGAAATTGGGGGGTATGTATTCTTGATAACAAATTTGTGTTTATGTAACTAATGTACATATATGTAGTTGTTATTGTTCTCTCTGTGTTCCTTTATACTGTAGTCTTTAAATCATTCATGTATGTGGATTAGCTCAGGAAATATTTTTTTCTCAAAAAAGGCAGCTTTTTAAAAAGTGACAGGTCCTTGAAGTATTAAGAGTGAAGAATATAATCTAGTAAACTAAAAATATATGTTCAATAAACAGGTTTTGAATAGTGAGGTGAATGCAATTCGACGTGCTTGTTCGTCGTTGGAACAAGGATACAAACCCAAAGTTACGTTCTTGGTGGTACAGAAACGTCACCACACTCGGTTCTTTCCAAGCCCTGAGGATGCAGATGGAAGAAATAAGAATGTGCCACCTGGTACAGTAGTTGACCGTGAAATTACTCACCCCACAGAAGTGGACTTCTATCTGGTTAGCCATGCCAGCATTCAGGTATGAGAATGTGAAGACTAGCTAAGTCCAGTTCATTAATAACTCTTAACTAACTCACTCACTCACTCTATAACATTAAAATGTTTGTTCATATGATGATAGTTTCTTGGCTGTTAATTTTTTCTTTTTGCTTTTATTGGACCTGTAGGCTTATCATATTTACACGGGTCTTCCATTGGATCCCACCCTGAGCCTGTTAATCCAGTTCACATTTTGCACCTTGTTTATTCAAGATCCATTTTAATATTGTTATTTTCTGACCAAAGCTTTATGTACTTTCCTCATATTTTATATGGGTGCTGCATGACCCATTCTATGTTATGTTTACTGATTTAATGATGTAACAATATTAGGAGAAGAATACAGATTATGATGCTCATTATACACACTACACTATACCGTACTATTCTTTTGTGAGACCGATAACCAGTATAAGAAACACAATAAAAATGTACACAAGTTCCGATATGTGGATAATTGCATATTTTTCTTTGTCTTGGAACTGTGCATTCAGTACTTACCTTCAGTTTCAAGACCTACTCCTAGTGGCATGCTCACTTGATACTTGAGGAAGCGAAAAATCACTTAATATGGTGGAAATCTGTAGAGACACTAACAATAGGGTAGGTAACACTAGCAGTTCCTATAATATAGACATTAATAGAAGGGTAACACTGGCACTTAGTATAGCAGAAATGGACACACTAACAGAAGGATAACACTATAAATTTAACTTTTTCTTCAAGATTTTAATTCCAACTCTTCAGTATGTGACTTTAACTCTTGTGGTGGCTAAATATAATTAAATCCTTTATGTAATCAATCACATTATTGTAGGGGAAAACTCGCAACATTTTGGAGACTGACGTAGGAAGCAGATATATAGTCTGAAACATTGATTGCAGCCAGTTGCTTGAGAGGCTTTTATTGCCTTACACACTTAAATATGAAAGATATGTGTGTAATCCCACAAGGAAAACTAGTCAGATAGTCTTCAAGCTTTTAGGCATTCAGTCATGAATTTGGTTACAGAAAATCTGCCGAGAATACTATTACATATGCAACAAACATGTTATTGTTCTGCATTATTCTGCTAGAGCTACAAACCAACAAGCATGTGCTTCGGATGGGTCCATCTCATACAACCAAAATCAGCCCTTTGCGCAAGTGCCATAACTCCTCGCTTGGCCTCTATATCTTGAATTTTAAGTTAGCATTCAGATGTCTGAAGCTCCACAACTGAAATCTCTTGTCTCAGAATACTAGACTGTTTGCCTTCAAAAGATAATATTGATTGCATATTTCTAATAATCAATTGAAATGTTGTAAGTCTTGAAGCTTTAACTGCAAATTAATGTATTAAAATCTTGGGTAGTAAGCAGCAATTATGATGCCTCTTCCTGATTGGTGAGCTGGTTAATAAGATGTTGGGTCACTGCTCAGATTAACTCCACCTTCTGATGAACAAAATGCCAATTAGGAAGAGGCATTATATTGACAGATTGGTGTATGTTGTAGGTGATTTGTGATCATCCCCCACATTCACCCCATTGAAGACAGAACAGTACATTTGTAACCAATTCTTGATGCAGCCGATCACCTGAGATTTTAATGAAATGAACTTTTACTCTTTTCAGGGTGTTAGTCGTCCTACCAAGTATCGTTTGTTATGGAATGATGACGATGATATGACGGAAGATGAAATTGAAGAAATTACATACTACTTGTGTCATATGTTTTCACGTTGTACACGGAGCGTGTCATACCCAGCACCTACATATTATGCACATCTTGCTGCTTACAGGGCTCGTGTGTATCTGGTGGGCTAAGTATAAAGCACAGTTTCTAAAACCTCAGGAAAGTTATAAACATATGCAGTGTGAAGTAGGTTACTCTAAGACAGATTTTTTGCTCAACATTGTCACCAAATTCACCTTCAAACTTTTACATCAGTTAATTTTATGTTGTTAATACAGTGAATATTTATTTCTGATATCATTATTCATATTACACACCAGCAAGTATAATATTGTTTTATATCTCACTGTGTACTTTAATACCTTATTGTAATGCAAAATGACAGTTAAAAAGACACAGTTACAGCCATTAGCATTCTCGATTCTGGGAACAAGAATTTCTAGGAAGAATGTAGTATGATGCCTGCTTTTCTTAAAATGCTTTGGTTTATGTATGAGGTTAGGAGAAACTTTAAATAACAATTGAAAAATTTTGTCATTCATTTTTGTGCATAATTTCCCTATTGCAGATTCTGACTACACTAATTTACCGGATATATAACCTTAGTACCTTACCTTATGGTCTGTTAAAATGGTACCAAATAGTTATGCTAATAAAATGTTTTTCTTGGTTTTGTCTTACAGAGAGCAGATTAAGCTGTCTAATCTGGCAATGGAGCAAAAGAAGTGTGCTGTCATGGCTGAAATTATTTCTGGTCATCCAATGTTTTTTGTGTAAATAAGCTGGTTTTAAGTTGAATACTGAATTTTTTCCCTTAATTTACATTCTTTTAATGGAAAATATTTGTATGAAACAAGGCAGATTTATATGTAGCTTAGTATCTCATATCTTTATATAAAATTGAAATTGTAGGTACAGTCAAACTCGGTTATAGCAAGATCCAAGGACCTAGGAAAAGTGCATATTATAACCGTTACTCGTTATATACGTTATTGTAGCTATATGTTACTTTGCTCTTACTCACTACTTTTATCACACACACACACACACACAGATATATACTTATAGTTTCTCTCCCTAGGTCTTTTGAGAATTCATAACATTAGGGAACAGATAGAAGAGAGGATTAAGAGATTGGGGAAAAACAAAAAGCTCAATGTCACGTGCACCTTCAGCATAGGACATGCTCTATTCAAACGAGACAGCAGTGTAGCACAATCATTCTGCTCTCCCCCGCCATGTGTAACCATTTACATTACTATACATTTTTTATGATTCCTGAAGCCCCCGTATGCCCTCAGCGCCCCCGCCACACAAGTTCTGCGGGGTTTTCCACTACACCACTGAAACGAGGACTATACTCTTTGTGAGATACTGGGAACGGAAATTGAACCAAGCACACTATGAATGTCAACTGTGAATATCGTTAAAAGGGTTGGAAATTGCTGTTGGCAGGGATGTGGAAAGAGATAAAGGGGAAAATGTCATAAATGGGCAAAGCGATAATAGATCTTAGCTCTTCATGCGGCAGTTCAGCCACTGCTTGTTATAATGGCTTAGAGATTTGCTTGTTTTGCCTGTGAAGCTATCAGCTACCATAATCGCTTTAACTGTGAAATGTTGCTCATAAAATACATCATTTCCAACTGACTCTTCTCTGTTTGCTCGCAATAGCTGATATCTCATTATAACAGAGCTTAAATAAATTGAATTATAAATGAGTTTGACTGTATTTTTAGTCTCATAATAGTATTTTATTAAGAAAATCCTTTTTTACGTTTAAAGTAGTGGAAGTTTACTTTGCCCTTAAGCACCATGGCAGCTTGGTATGTAGGTACTAATAGTAAAGGTGAAGTTGCACCACAGCATGAAGACATGTGGTTCAGTGAAGGTATAGCTGCTTATGTTCTTGGCATTTTATGGAAGTGAGCAGTACCAGTTAGGCAGGGGTCTGGGTGGGTCCCAGTAGCAGATGCAAGAGAGTGGTTAGCCACATGCTGTGGCTGCTTTTGTCTTGGAGAAATAATCCTCTGTAACTTTAGAGCATAGATGGACTGTGAAGCTGGTTTGAACTTCTTGGTAGTATTCTTCTTCCAGGTTATGATGTTATATAAATTTATAGTTAGAGATACAGTCTAAGTCCATCTTCAGGGCTGAAGTTCAGTATTCCATATATTGGTGCTGGGGACTGTTTTCTGGAGCTGAAAAAGCTAAAGTGTGATGTGACTGTACTACTACATTTAGTGTCAAGGTCTCACCGTTTTTTAGTAGCATGGTGCTTAGGTCCACTGAGAACTTTTCTGTTTGTTTTTCTTGTGATGATATAAAGTATCCTTAAATAATAATATGCACACATACGTTTCTGAAAAATGTACCAGAAAGTGTATCAGCTCTGAATTTATGTGCAGCATTGAGTTTGTGTATATGTGTTTGAATTAAACTTGTTGTAAAGTCTATACATGTAAACATTTGTCTGACATGTTTCCTATTCAGAATGGTCTAAAACAAGGAGATGCTTTATTGCCATTGCTTTAAAATAGTCCTTTAGGAAGGTCCAAGAAAACCAGGTGGGACTGAAATTGAATGTAGCATTCCAGCTTTTGGTCTATGCTGATGATTTAAATCTATTGGGGGATAACATAAATGCCATAAAGAGAAACACAAGCTCTGATTGATACTAGTAAGGAGGTTAGTCCAGAGGTAAACAGAGAAAACTAAGTGTGTTGATGTCCATCTTCTGCCTTGTTGTGCCATGTGGTATAGTAGAAGTTTGCCGACGTTTCAGAGGTCCTTGCTGTCTCCATCATCAGGTCGATGAGTAAGCTGCGCAAATGGAAAACGCTTTCCCTTCGCTTGGCAGAAGAATGAGATGGGTGGGACATGTGGCGCGCATGGATGGGGAAAGAAATGTGCACTGTGTATTGATCAGGAAGACTGAAGGGAAGAGCCTGCTGGGAAGACCTAGACATAGATGGGAGGATAATATGTGGGATCTATGGGAGATAGGAGTTGAAGGCAACTGCATTTTGTCCCAGTACAGGGACCGGTGGAGGGCTTTGGTTAATTCAGTGATGAACTTAAGGGATTCTGTAAGCCAGTGGTCCCCAACCTTTTTGTGCCTACAGGCACATTTGAGAGTTTATGAGATCGTGGCGGGCACCAACCAATTAACAAAGCCAAATTTTCTTTTCTCTGGACAAACAAGATATAGATACCAAATAATACACAAAACAACACGACGTTTAATGATGCAATCAAAAATACGTACTTTTTTAAGTACAATTAATATTACTCAAGTGTGATGTTTGGCACTGCATTTCATCGGCCGGGTTTTCAAATTTGGGAGTGTAGGGTGATGTTGCTGCTCGTAAACAATCGTCAAGATGGGCATTAGTAAGTAGAGATCTGTGCTTTGATTTTATAGTGTTCATGGTTGAACGACCTTCATTATTCGCTATAACCTCTTTCCGTATCAATGCGGGCACCCAAAATAAGCCTTGGCGGGCACCGCGTTGGGGAACACTGCTGTAAGCCATCTAGTTAGTTTGAGCCTTGGTATTTGGCACAGATGTCATGTATACAGAGCTGTGGGTAGAAAGCAGAGATGAGTACAAGGTTGCTGCTAGTTACATAACCCGTCTCACTGTAGTGTAGTCTATAGATAACATCGCTGTCGGTGGGAAGAGTTGAAGTAGAGTGAAATTCGAACGGAAGTAAGAATTACATTATATAAGTTTTGCATTGTGTTGGATATATGCATATCGTTTATTTTTTTATTATAAAACGTATTAATAAGTTTCTTCAATAATCCCCAAGGTGTGTGTAACTACGCAATTGGTATGTGCCAAAAATATCGATCGTGGTATTTGTACCTGCTGTTATTCGAATAGTGTTCCTCTATTTTTTTAACGAGACTGAAATAGGTATTAAGGTCACATATCTGACTTATTGTACAGCAAGAAGCATTGTTCGCGATGTCATGATGATGTTGAGATTTCCGGAAATGCCAGTTCGAGCTTTATATATTTATCTAGGAAATGTCTTCATAATTGACTATATGCAACGACGAAACGCGTAGTAAATTAATTGAAACTATGTTTGTAATAAAGTTCTTATGTTTGTACTGTCACATTGAAAATTTCAAGTACCATGCTTTAGCATTTTTATCGAATGAGGTGAAAACGGAAAGAAACTGGCAGTACGTCATTCGGCGAAGTTTTCGCGATGTAAGTTGTGTTGTAAGTTCGGGACTATAAATAAGTTGGATCCAACCCAAAGTATTTGGGCATGGAATGTTTCGCATTGAGTGAATAAGCGCTAAACTTATCCGTGGTCTCTTTCTAAAACATACAGATATACCTTTCATTCACACGTTACAAGAATGAGATTTATCAGAATTCTTAAGGTGTATTTCTTGAAGTTGTTTATGCGTGTAAAAAGTACTAGAAATAGTGCAAAAAGTGTGTATCCTTTATTTTAGAAAACCAAGAACAATAAACATGCATCGTGTTCGGACAGTGTTGAACAATTTGGTTCCTCTGGCACCATTGATTCATAATGCGGCAGGACCAGAACGTTTTGCGTCATGGCTTCTGAGGTCTGGCAAAACATCTTACACAGTGTTGGTGTCAATTACAAGGCATTATAATGCTCCTGTTCAAACAGAACCATTTTTGAACGGTAGCTCATCTGCATACGTTGAAGAAATGTACAATGCTTGGCTGGCAGATCCTAAAAGTGTGCATGTGGTAAGTTCTATATTATTGTTTGTGGTGTAGTGATAGCATTGATACATGTTTTTAGATGTATCAAACAATGCTGATTGCCCATTGTGATTTTCTAGCTGTTCATCCTTTCCTAATATAACTCAGTGACAGCATGCCATGGTACTGTGATGTAGATACCAGCATTTTGGAGAAACATAAAAAATGGAGACATCATTTTTTCCCAAAATGTGACTACCTACAAATTCACATGTTATCACAGCAGAGAACATCATCAACTTCACTGGCCTGAACACTTCAGATCTCACCCCATTCAGCTTTTGTTTTTATAACTATCCAGTAATATTATGTATATATGTTTTTTTACAGCATCTAGACTCTCAAGCCATAATGCTTATTTTTATTCCAGTGACATGTATGGTTCTTATTTTCTGGAAGATTTACTCATGTTTAATGTATCTGCTGTAAATTTAACCCAGTCCACCCTTTCATCCTCTTTATTTAAGGTTTAATATAACACATCATTAATTTATGTTATGTTTGTGTTGGGTTTAATAACAAGACATAAAATAGACAGAGGTTCTTTTCTAGGTAACTTCATGTGGATGCAAAATGTTGGTAAAATACTGCATAATTTGTTCCTGATGAATTAATGCTCATCTTACATCATGGTTTCTCCTATGTAGAACTTCTTGTATATATAATTTTACTTGTACCTACTGTTCTCATTAATGTTTTATACACCTCTTCCCTTCGCTACCACATTCAGACTGGCTCTGGTGTCCACTCATCCTCCTGTCTAGTAGGTATCAGGAAATGTTTCTATAGGGTAAGGCAGCTGGAACCTGAAATTGACTTCTCATCTTTCAGTAAGTGCTGTGATCTAAAATATGTACACATTTACTTCCATGCTTCCAATATTGCTTCATGGTGCGTTTTTTATGGGGCGTATATACCCATTTAGGCACAACATTCCATTGTTTACTTGAGTTTAAACTCCCTTAATATATTAGTAGTTCTGTGAGTATCCCATTGCATATTTACCGACGTTTGTGTTATAGCAGAGCAAGAAACTGATAAGTCACATGGTAAAAATTGACTTCCTTTCATCACCAGAATCTTTTGAGGTGGTAATCCTTCATTTGGTAAAAACTTCTCCTACTTTTATGGAAAGTGAAGGTGTATTAGTGTTCAGAAGAATCCGCTACTGGACCGTCTTGAGTCAGTGGAATATGCGTAGTACACGCCTTCACACTCTGTTTTCTTAAGATTAATTTTATTAGTATTCTAACTATAACTTGGTATCTTCTCTTCTGGTTTTTCTAAATATTTGTGTTCACCTGTCATACCCCTTTGAGTCCTGCATATATTGTGCATCTTATCTTCTTTGATTTGTTCATCCTAGTAATGTTTTGTAAGTAGTACAAATTATGAAGCTTCTCAGTTTGTTTTCTCCACCCTGCTGTTATTTCTTCACTCTGAGATCCACATATTTTCCTGAGCTCTATGTTTTCAGACACCCTCTGTCTATGTTCTTCACATTATGATGCAAGTAATATCTGAGCCAAAGTTAAAATAAATCCTTTGACAGCATTACAGCTGAAACATGCAGATATCAAGGTCAGGATACAGTTGGGATCACTGATCATATAATATCCATTGAGTTCCTAGATAATAGTCTGTGGAATGCTTGACATTATCAGTTCTAGCTTGTTACATTGTGTCATGTGCAAACATTTAGCAACTGTTAGAACTGCATTATCATATGCATGACAAAGTAAACTAGTGACATGATTTAATTAATGGTATAATATTTCAAAGAAGTGATGTAAGCTAAAATATTTAACACATTGATGCAAAAGTTATAAGTATGCACTTGTGTTACTGAATTGTTTGCCTGAGTTGGTAGAATTATACTCCACACTTGAAAATTAAGATAAAAATCTATCATTACAGTAATTTAACTGTCCACCAGTCTTGGGAAGATTTTAATGAAACTTGTTGGGAACATTATTCTACTTTACCTTTGTACTTATTAATTTAATACCACCACTGTGGGCATGTGAACTGGTAAGGTGGGAGTAATCTTAACAGCACTTCATTAATTTGAGGTCCTGAAATTTAGTATGGAACTAATTCCATCTAGCAAAGTCCTTCCTCAGAAGCTAATAGTTGTAGGAATTCCCTGCCTTTTGTTTGGAAAGTGAAAGATCATGACTGTGTTTACAACAGTTCAGCACTGGTCCCTGTTCTCCGCCAGATGAATCTAGTCCACATTCTTCAACACAATTCCAAGATCCATTTTAATACTTTTTCCCATTTATGCATTAGGTTTTCTAAGTGCTGTCTTCCTTTCAGGCTTACTGGCCAAAATCATCTGTGCTGTAGTTCACACCCATGTTATTTTACTTCATTTGATCATCTTTAGTCTCCTGTCATTTCCTTGTATCAGGTTTTCAAAGAATTTTAAAATATACAGCTTTTATTATGATAAATTGTTCTGGAATTTAAAACAACTTTTAGTGACTATGAGTCATTTTTGGAGGATACTTGACACCTATCTAATATGAATTTGTTTATTTAGAATTACCATAGTATTGTTAATGATTTACTGTTGAATATACATCAGAGGTACAACAGCTGTGAATGAAGGCCACATTACATAATGTGAATGCTGTATGTGTACCAGCAGATTACCATATGGTTTCAAGTTCATACCAGTTTCAGTTTTACAAGTATGCCACTTAGCATGCAGTGGGGGCTTTTAGTGCTATTCACTATTGGATGCTAAATCATGATTTTCAGACACTTACATTGCCTGCAGAAATATGACCTATAATACTGTTGTTTTATATACCATTATCACAGAGAAAATTTCATTTGGTATATCTGAAAAGAAGAGAGCCCGTGGAAGACTTAGGTATAAATGGGGGCATGATATGAATGTTGAAGAAATAGTTTGTGAGGTTGTGAATTATATTCATCTGGCTTAGGTTATGACCACTGGAATGAATCTTTTAGGTTTCATGAAAGGTGGGAAATTTTTTTGATTAGCTGTTAAACTATTGGCTTCTAAAGGACACTGCTCCATGAATTTAGTTGTCATTCAACAGTAAAGAAGTTGACAGTATAAAAGTTAGTGAACTTAAAAGTAATGATCTTCAAACTGCAATCTGTTTTCAAATTGTAGACATTGTTTCTTTTTATTGAACCTGCCTGGAAGGTTTTTGTTGAAGGAAATAGGAATTGAATTTGAACACTTTCTTTAGTAGCAGATGATAAACTCAGAAGCACTCTCTCATAGTACTTGTATTTTATAATTTCATTCTTTGCTTTTCTTAATATTTTATAATGTTTAATGTTCATATAATGCCAGTACAGATCTTTTATTACAGAACTAGCTATATTACATATATACTGCACATTCCCATTTTTTCTTTCTTCCTTGGAAATAACAAGAAATGCATACAACATATAGGGGTTGACATCCTGAAGGGAAGAGAACACTTAGGAAACCTAGGAATAGGTAGGATTTTAGTATTAAAATGGATCTTTGTGAAATTATATGTGGAGGTGTAGACTGTGTTTACTGACTCATGATAGAGGCCAGTTGCAGGATTAGTGTGAACACTGATGAAACCAAGGGTTCAATAAAAGAAGGGAATTTCTTGACTAGCCAAATAATTAACTTTTCATAGAAGGCTTGTACCACAATTTGTCAACATTTTAGTATCAGCAGATAGATTAGCAGAGCCAGTCAACAGAATGGTTAAATCACAGAAGACTGTGTAAGTTTGTAATCAATGCGTTGTACATTCTGATGCACCTAAAGTTTCTCATAAACTTTGCTGCAGACATTTCATACTTTTAACCAAAACAGTTTGTAACTTATACTACAAAAAATCAGCATACTTAACATATGCCATCCACCTGATTCTGTTTGATTTGTCACCCCATAAATATTAGGTGAAGAGTAAAAATTGTGAAATACTTGATTTTGTAACCCCTTGTTAGTTCCTGTCTAGGGCTATCAAGTAAATGTTTTCTTCTTCAATTTTGTTACAGTCATGGGACTCATTCTTTCGCAACAGTTCAGCTGGTGCAGCCCCTGGTCAGGCGTATCAACCTCCTCCCTCCCTAGCAGCTCCTGGTCGCAATCAGGTTCCTGTAACAAGTATAGCACCATACCTTGGGGGCTCAGCAGCACCTGCACTTGGTGGTCAGATAAATGAGAAGATCATTGATGATCACCTTGCAGTGCAGGCCATTATACGATCATACCAGGTATTGTTCATTACTATGTTTTTCAGATTATTTTGTGTCGGCATTAGTTTGTATTTATAAAAATATCCAATCTTAATTTAAACTGTTATGATTTAAAGGCCTCATTTTAGTGCTGGTATGATGTAAGTTTTTTTCTGGCATATTTGTATATCAAGTATATCCATGCATGAATAGGATAGTTGAGAATTTGAGGAACACATGGCCAGAGCTAGTGTCCACCTCAGTTCTGACAATACTAATGTGTATTTAATCCATATTGATTTGTTTACAGTGTGAACTAAATATTTTGTGAGGCTTGAGGGTTTCAGTGTTATGTACTGGGTTGTGATGCCATGTAATTTGTTGGTACTTACTAACCCTTTTACAGGGTAGAAACCCTGAAAATTGAATGTTTATAATTATTTATGAGACTGATATCACAACCAAAAGACCCAGTGAATGTTTTCACTGCTCAGAGATCCTCATCTAGTATGTTCTGTATTTGTTACAAGGTTTTCTGGGTATCACACCTTGTCACAATGACACAAGTTACTGGCATTTCAGAGCAACTTGCTGTCTCCCGCAGAGAGAAAATGGCATTGTGTCAAGATGGGAAAAAATGGCAAGTTTTGGAGGTAGCACGTTCATCTGTTACACAGTAAATTGACCATTTTGAGAAGGTGAAATGCTCAGATGACTCTGGAACAGACAATTTTATGTCTTGTGTTCTCTCTGTGAATCCTTCCTCTGATAAGTGTCCTTTCCTTTCAACACTATCCATATATCATTTTTATGTGACTGATATCAAGTAGAAAAACATATGCTTGGAAGGTCATTTAGAAAGAAGAACATGGAACACTACATAAATAACGAATTGGACATAGGTTAATTGCATGACGGGGAACAGTACTAACATACATTTGTAATAATCACACATTTGCTTACATCTTCACCCGCTTCCTTGATGCAGCCATGCAGTGTAAGCTTTGAAGCACTCTAACCCAGATTTCAGAATTTGTCTCTGAAAATTTTTCATTAAAATGGTAATTAGGGCATTTAAGTTAACTAGTTATGTAGTATACTTCCTGGTTTTATCTCCCCTGCATAGGGGTATTAAAATTCTGCTGACATTTGAATTTGTTACAGTAGCCATTTACTTTTAAACATATTACATTCTTCTATAAAATTCAACATCTTTGTTATTTATAGTTTAAAATTAGAAATGATGACTATTTGAAAGGCCAGTTAGTACATATTTTTATCTGTGTGGCCCACATATAGAAGTTAATTTGTTTTAGATGCATTAATAACTTTTGACATAACTCACATGGACTTCGGTTGAAATAATGTTGTTACTGTTGTATGTATGATTCATGCACTCATGTTATGCAGTCATGACTGGGGTCTAGTATTAGAAATGAAAAAAATTATAAAACCTGTACATCCAACATGGTGGGCCAACAAAATATTTCAGATGATTATTAGAGGCATGTCACAGTGATCTGCTGTTATGGTTTGCGTAGCTGTGCTTGACTCATTGATAATGTTTGGATGGTTTCATAACAGTGTCTAAGAATGTTTTGTTTTTACTTCCTTCTCTCTGTATGAAGCAAGATATTTTGTTCTTTGTGATTTTTGACTCATACACTACTTAGAACCATCTTGTCATTATGAGTGGTACTCTAACTAACTAACTAACTAACTAGATGTCTTATGTAATCTGAAGTTTTATCACCAAATTAACCAATGCCCTCCACCGGTCCCTGTCTTGAGCCAGCAAAATCTGATCACCCATGAGTGGTACTCAAAAGACAAATTAGCTTTTGTCTTTCTGTTTCATTGTTATTAGTGTCTTTACTGACTGCTATTTTTCAGTTTTGCCTTCTTCATTCTGACATAGAATTTCTTCTTTTTTTAACACAAGGTTTTGTATCAGCTTGTTCACAGCACAGTTTTTTTATAGAAAATGGTCTATGTTTTTGTGTTCATATTTGAATTGATATTAATTTATAATTTGTAGGACAGTTGGTTTTTTGAAATTAATTTTTAAAGGTATGTACCTCATTTGTGGGAACCCTGTATGTTGCACAGGCTTGTTTTGATTAAGGTTATATAAGAGTATGTTTTAGGTTATGACCTTGGTTACATGCCATATTATGATTACTGATAGACTTTATATTTAATTTATCAGTGCACAATTTTGGTGCATCATCATCTTTAGCTAACATATAACATTACACAAATAAATGAGAAGATCATTGATGATCACCTTGCAGTGCAGGCCATTATACGATCATACCAGGTATTGTTCATTACTATGTTTTTCAGATTATTTTGTGTCGGCATTAGTTTGTATTTATAAAAATATCCAATCTTAATTTAAACTGTTATGATTTAAAGGCCTCATTTTAGTGCTGGTATGATGTAAGTTTTTTTCTGGCATATTTGTATATCAAGTATATCCATGCATGAATAGGATAGTTGAGAATTTGAGGAACACATGGCCAGAGCTAGTGTCCACCTCAGTTCTGACAATACTAATGTGTATTTAATCCATCTTGATTTGTTTACAGTGTGAACTAAATATTTTGTGAGGCTTGAGGGTTTCAGTGTTATGTACTGGCTTGTGATGCCATGTAATTTGTTGGTACTTACTAACCCTTTTACAGGGTAGAAACCCTGAAAATTGAATGTTTATAATTATTTATGAGACTGATATCACAACCAAAAGACCCAGTGAATGTTTTCACTGCTCAGAGATCCTCATCTAGTATGTTCTGTATTTGTTACAAGGTTTTCTGGGTATCACACCTTGTCACAATGACACAAGTTACTGGCATTTCAGAGCAACTTGCTGTCTCCCGCAGAGAGAAAATGGCATTGTGTCAAGATGGGAAAAAATGGCAAGTTTTGGAGGTAGCACGTTCATCTGTTACACAGTAAATTGACCATTTTGAGAAGGTGAAATGCTCAGATGACTCTGGAACAGACAATTTTATGTCTCATGTTCTCTCTGTGAATCCTTCCTCTGATAAGTGTCCTTTCCTTTCAACACTATCCATATATCATTTTTATGTGACTGATATCAAGTAGAAAAACATATGCTTGGAAGGTCATTTAGAAAGAAGAACATGGAACACTACATAAATAACGAATTGGACATAGGTTAATTGCATGACGGGGAACAGTACTAACATACATTTGTAATAATCACACATTTGCTTACATCTTCACCCGCTTCCTTGATGCAGCCATGCAGTGTAAGCTTTGAAGCACTCTAACCCAGATTTCAGAATTTGTCTCTGAAAATTTTTCATTAAAATGGTAATTAGGGCATTTAAGTTAACTAGTTATGTAGTATACTTCCTGGTTTTATCTCCCCTGCATAGGGGTATTAAAATTCTGCTGACATTTGAATTTGTTACAGTAGCCATTTACTTTTAAACATATTACATTCTTCTATAAAATTCAACATCTTTGTTATTTATAGTTTAAAATTAGAAATGATGACTATTTGAAAGGCCAGTTAGTACATATTTTTATCTGTGTGGCCCACATATAGAAGTTAATTTGTTTTAGATGCATTAATAACTTTTGACATAACTCACATGGACTTCGGTTGAAATAATGTTGTTACTGTTGTATGTATGATTCATGCACTCATGTTATGCAGTCATGACTGGGGTCTAGTATTAGAAATGAAAAAAATTATAAAACCTGTACATCCAACATGGTGGGCCAACAAAATATTTCAGATGATTATTAGAGGCATGTCACAGTGATCTGCTGTTATGGTTTGCGTAGCTGTGCTTGACTCATTGATAATGTTTGGATGGTTTCATAACAGTGTCTAAGAATGTTTTGTTTTTACTTCCTTCTCTCTGTATGAAGCAAGATATTTTGTTCTTTGTGATTTTTGACTCATACACTACTTAGAACCATCTTGTCATTATGAGTGGTACTCTAACTAACTAACTAACTAACTAGATGTCTTATGTAATCTGAAGTTTTATCACCAAATTAACCAATGCCCTCCACCGGTCCCTGTCTTGAGCCAGCAAAATCTGATCACCCATGAGTGGTACTCAAAAGACAAATTAGCTTTTGTCTTTCTGTTTCATTGTTATTAGTGTCTTTACTGACTGCTATTTTTCAGTTTTGCCTTCTTCATTCTGACATAGAATTTCTTCTTTTTTTAACACAAGGTTTTGTATCAGCTTGTTCACAGCACAGTTTTTTTATAGAAAATGGTCTATGTTTTTGTGTTCATATTTGAATTGATATTAATTTATAATTTGTAGGACAGTTGGTTTTTTGAAATTAATTTTTAAAGGTATGTACCTCATTTGTGGGAACCCTGTATGTTGCACAGGCTTGTTTTGATTAAGGTTATATAAGAGTATGTTTTAGGTTATGACCTTGGTTACATGCCATATTATGATTACTGATAGACTTTATATTTAATTTATCAGTGCACAATTTTGGTGCATCATCATCTTTAGCTAACATATAACATTACACAAACCACCACTACCACCCTGTCTTCCAGCATGTAATCACACCTAAATTATGATCTTTATATGAAGTGTGACATTGCTTGAATTATTTCACATGTTATGATATAAATATATTCTTCAATGTAATTGGTTTATTATGTTTATTTGTTTTCATATGTATTAAATTTACTTTGGGGTTTGGTTTGTTGTCTGTATATGTCAGTTCAAGGAAATTGTGGTGATGGAGACTTATGTAGTTCTCACGTTTTTTATGTTGTTTTACCCATTTGCACATCTAGTGAAGTAAAATGTATTAAAATGGAATCTCCCCCTCAATAGTTAACTAAACACATGAATATATAAAAAAGCACTTGAAACAGATAAGGAGACAAAGAAATATCAGGTGCTGTCTTAAAAGCTTATAATAATTATCTGATGTAGATTACTAATTTTTCCAATTGCAGTGTTCATACTTCTCTGTGACTGATGTTTGAACATAAATATTTCCAAGTTTGCCATTGGCCGATGCTGCGATTTATGTGGCAGTTGAAATTAATTTTTAAATGCTTTATATGCCTAAACAAATATTCTGTAAAACATAACATACTGATGATTTTAGGCAACAGTGTGACCTGGTACTCATGAGTTTTTAACTCTGTTAAATACACTAAGGATCTGTTATTGATGATTTAATTGTGACAGCAATATGAAAGCTCCTAGTGTTTAGAATGCATGTTATCAATTTTAAAATATATCATGCAGTGAGAAAACACTTCATCAATTCAAATTCTCATTGATTTTTAAAAATAGCATATTGTGTTTCATTCAGTCTATCAGATTTCTTGTAATCAGTAGGGAGAATGTTATATTGCATGGTTTAAATATCTGGTGTAATGTTCTCTCTAGTGTTATGGAGTCTTATTCTAGGAACTATCCACTCTTCATACAAACAACATAAACATTTTATAAATGAAGCACTGTTATTATGTACAAAATCTGAAGTTCAAATATTTCTTCTGACTGAAGCAATAATTGATGATGTCAGATCCTTATAAATTTATTTTAATGCAACATCTGTAATTTTAAATGAATCAGTGCCTTGGTATGTGCTTTGGGCTATGTAACCCATTAAGATGACTGCATATTTATAGTTTATTCTGTTTATACCAATCAATTGAGGTATGGATAATTGAATGCACTATTCTGTGACAGGAGTCTGTGTATCTGTGTTTAATTTTGTGCTTGGTATTCATAAATTCACTGACTGGTATTATACAGGCTCGAGGACATTTAGTTGCTGACTTGGACCCATTGGGTATTACGTATGCTGATCTTCATGGTACTTACACTGACCGCAAGGGGGCACCTCCTGAGCAGGTGGTGCGCCATTACATGCTGGGTAAGGCAGCCTGTGGTGATGTGGGTCATGTGACTTGCAAATAATAATTTCCATTTTCTGGGCAGGTCTCAGCATCTTTACATTAGCTTCCTGACCTTGTGACTTCAGTTCCTCTCATGTTTGCATTGTTGTTCAAATGTTTTTACTTACAAGGCTTGTATCTTGTGCATGTATTCACAATCCTTGATGAAAGTATTTCCACAAAATTTAGTATGATAACTTGATTTAAAGTAAATTATTCCGCAGTTTATTCCTTTCATTTGATGGGCTATGCCTCTTTTTACAGTTTTTCTTTCATGTTGTCTCTTACAACTTTTCCTTTTTGCCGATTGAAGTGTAGAAGAAAGTGTGAAGTAAAAGAAAGCCAGAAAACAATTGATTTGAAAGTTGTTTACAATGAATCAGATTGCTTTTTTCGTGAGATTTGAGGTTTTGAATATTTGTATTACTGTGATAAAATATGTACTGGTTTTGGAATTTTAGTTATATCTGTAATTGTATCCTACATAAACAGCATTTCCTAATTTATGTAAAATAATGTGAAGTCAAATATCAACCTGTATTTCTGATTTATATGGCCACAATTTGCTATTGTGTAAAGGTATTGTATTTAATATGGAGTAACTTCAATATATGTAAAGTGACTGTTTTTGAAAGCAGCAACAGAAGCCTAATATTATAGGAAAAAGCTTGTTAGACTGTGATTTATTTTCTTTTTTACTAAAACTGTGCAAATAGGAAAATTTGGAGTGCATGTTATTTGTTAACATTTTGCATGTGTTTTGTGATTTATTATTTGGACTTTGCGAACATGAATGCGGGTAACATAATCTTAAACTGTCACCTGGTTCAGGCGTTTCTTATGGATGCTTGTCATTTCAAGATAACATATGGCAGAGCTGTTTAACTGTCAATAGTGCACTAACAACTAAACGTGTGGCTTGCCATGTTTGCTTCATGCTACCCAGACTTAACTTGTGCCTTATTTAAATATGAACATTATGGTAGTTACTTTCTGAATTTAATGCATTACTCTCTATACTTACTATAGTTGTTGAAAATCTTAGCAAAGTTCCTGTTTGATGAAGGCAGAATGGTGAGCAGAGTATGATGGTTGCCATCCCGCAGTTGGTGTCGCCTTTTTGCTTAACCCTTTGTTCAGGCCATGTTATATATCACTTGTCACATCTGTTATGTTCTTGCGGTTTCTGGTACAATTTTTTTTATGCAGCCGATTGCTCAAGAAGACTTTATTGGGTATAGTCATCATGTGAAATGTTAAAAATTGTGTGTAGGTGGAATATTATATCTCAGTGGTGTTATTGCTGATTGGAAGAGGAGGGAGAAAGTGGCTGGTTTGTGTATGTACTTGGCAATATTTTGATGGTGGTCTAAATTATTGTAATTGTTGATTTTTCTGAGAAATGTAAATGTGGCATACAGGCACATTTGTTTTGCATTCACTAACAATTACATCATTGCACTTGAGTTTAAGGAATACTCAGCCAGGTACTGATATTGCTCTTGTTGGCATAAGTTTTTTTAATCATACCCCAACAGAAATTAGTTGTTTTTAGTGGAAGTAACATTAAGGATATTGTAGATCTTATTAATTTGCTGTAAATATGTACATTATATTCTGTTGTTTTGTTTTTGTTTAGAGGATTGACCCACTGAAGCTGGAAGTGTAATTTAAAATTTGAATTTCTCTTGTCTGATATAATGTAACCTCTTTTTCTGCATTCAGTTATTTGGAGGTACTTGAAGGAAAAGTAGTATACATTATAGTTGGGCAAGTATGACAGTTTGGGAGTAACTATGTAGAAAACTGTGATATTTGTTTTCCTTCAATACTCTTTAAATTTCTAATGCAGTTTCACTTTTATATACAAGCTTTTGTATGCCAACAGATGTAGCATGTGGCCATTTCTGTATAATCCAGTTATGCATTCTTGGTCATCTTGCTGTCTTTAAAATTAACTAACTCATCTCTCCATGATGTTATTCCCATGTAAAATTTTGTTTTCTCCTGTCTCACATTGTGACTTTTCTATATTGTGTAGCTTTAGAAACCTGAACTTGTTTTCCCTATTACCATGCCATGGAACCTTCTTGCATTGTGTTGTCAGATCCGAGGTCATCACATTGCCAAGCTGGACCCTTTGGGAATTTCAAGTGCAGATTTGGATGACAAACACCCTCCAGAATTGCTCTATAGCCACTATTCCTTTGGTAAGGACTGATACAGCCATATAAACTATGGTGGATTCTCTACGTACATGATGTTATAAGTCAGCTGTTTTTGAAGTATATGATTCAGGATTACAGATAACGTCAGGCATCATAAGGGTTGATATTAGTTTGGTTATTTCTTCTGTATTTTTGTGAGATTTTGTGCATGGTGTGTGTGTCTAATGCCCCCCCCCCCCTTTTTGATCTAAAATCCCCATTATCCCTCCCAGAAAATATCTTGTGTTTAAAAATATATGTGTCTTGTTTATTTGTTTAAATAAGTGCAGCAGTGATTTTTTTTACATTGAATGAAAATATTGTTATTAATGTTGAAAAACTAATTTTGATCCAAAGTGCTTAGTGTCCTTTACCTGGTTAAGAATCAGGAACTAGTTTATATGACATACTAGCCAACTCATGAGATCCTGAGACAAGTAGGCTGATTGTTTTTTGCCTTGGTTTGGTGAGATTGAAACTTGGACATACAAGTATTTCTTGTCTAGCAGTTTAAGGAGCTGATAATCTGTCCTGTAGGAGTGTTAATCTGTGCTACTTACATTGCTAGTCTCATTGTGTGAGGCATATTCACCATAAAATTATTCTCTTTAATTTAAAATATACATTATTTCTATCAGGAGACCTAAAGGAATAAGATAATGTGTGAGACCTAGGTGCAGAAGAGTTGAAATGAACTTTGAGTTCCATAAAAGCAGCATATTTGTTGACCATCTGAGCAACTGGTAGCTTGTCAAGACAAAAAGACTCTGTACTATGACCTAATTAGTTTACAAAATATTTCACACCTTACCTTGCCCTTTCACATGAATTGTTTGTTTTGTGCAATATTTGTTTTTCAAGTGTAGTTGGAAACATTGAAACCAAAATTAACAACTTTGTTTACTTTGATTTTTTTGTGCTAAAATAACTTCTCCTTTTTTGTGGTTTTTCACCATCTCCTTTTCAGAGGTTTTCCTAGTCTTTGAAGCGTGCATTTGTGAATAGTGAGTGACCAGCCCACTGCCTCTGCACAATTTATACGCAATCCTGATTTGTCTGCTAGAGCCATCTAGTAGTGAGAGGCTTGGGTGAGAAATGACTGCTGAATTTTGCTTATGAAACATCTTGTTTCATGCTCGTAAGGTTGTTTTACGTGCCATAAATCTACGACATGGGACCATCAGCTTTACTTCCCCTCCAAAGGAAGTTGTGCTACGGATTTTTATCACCCTTAAAAACACATAGACCTTGGCTGGGTTTGAACCTGCAAACCTTGGGTCCAGTGGCGAGTATGCTAACCACTAGTCCACTGCGGGTGACGCTAAAAATAAATATATAGAATTTAAATATTTCAAAATAAATGCCAGAAAATAAAAGAAAACTTTCCTGTAGGTTTACTACATCTATTTCCATAAGTACACTATTTTTACTTTCATCTCATGTCATATCATAGCTATCAGAATAGTTAACCCTTTGAAACTGAAGTTTGTGTAATAATTTGTAAAAATTCGGTCCGTACATCAGTGCATCTGCATTGCAAGGATCAGTTGGTTAATACTGTTTAGAGAAATACTTGTTTACTCTGAGAATTATATGAAACCTTTAAATTACTCTGTGGAAAAAATGCAGTTATTCTTTATTAAAGCATGTGATTCATATAGTTACCACTGGGCTTTAAAGTGTTATCACTCAAAAATGCACCATGCCACCAAATCACTGTTTCATACATAAATTTTTCTTTATTCACTGTTTTTATCTCAAGTTTTCTGTGTTATGCAGCTTTAGTAGGTGACAAATTGTTAACTAGTTGAAGAAATTAATAAAGGACTTCTATTTTGTGTTCCTTTATCTTTAATATTTATTTTCACTTATATTGTGGTCTATATGTTTGTCTGTCCCCATTGGCTCCCATATTTTGTTCTGAATAAATATAAAAAAATTAGTATCTTGTCTATTTAACACCAAAGAAATGTTCTAAATGTGCAGGCGAGCTGCTGCAAAATGAAATTCTTTCAAGTCTTAGTCAGTATTTTTTAATGTTTTACCCAAAGTAAGATGCTAACAAATCATGCTCAGTAACTCCAGAAATTTACTAGTTTGATGACCTATGCAGTGACTCGGCCTGGTATAAGGGAAGGGTAGTTTTCCCACAGGATCCCATAAATGATACTGAATTGTCGGTTAGTAATTAGATGAAGTTACAGTTCTTCCTGTAAAATAACATTTTTAAGTATTGTATGTAGCTGAGATTTTTTGCACGATTTCCAGAAGGTGATGCTTATGGTAGAGGTTATATCTGCCCATGTTTTATTTCCAAAACTGCTAATTGGGTTCTGATGACATTTGGTATTGGGAGGGAGCTACACTAAAAGTTGTATATAAAATGTAATCTTGGTTTTTATCAGCCTGTTATAACTCCTGGGGGTCCGTGTGGTCTGAGGCGCAGGCGTTGTGCTGCTTGGTCACTGGGACTGTGGGTTCGAATCCCACTCTAGCCATGGATGTCTGTCCGCGTTTTTGTGTGTTGTGCTGTCCTGTGTACAGGTAGAGGCCTTGTGATGGGCCGATCCCTCGTCCAAGGAGTCCTACCCAATATCTATAGATCAAAGCCAACGAAAATTTGGGACCCGCAGTGCTCAGACACTTGAAGAACGGGTCGTCAAAGTATGAAAGTGAAGTAAGTAAATTATAACGCCTAATGTAAGATCAGATCTAACTTTCTTGTAAAAAATTGTGTAGTTATAAACAATATGTGGTATAAAATGTGTAATTAATAACTAATGTTTGCTTGTTTGAATCATTTTTCAATCTGTTGGACATTTTAATAAAACAAAAGTAAATTTTTTTTCTGATCTTGTGCTGTCTAATATCTTTAATGTGGTTAGCTTTGCAGTAATAGATTTATACCTGCAATAAATTAACATCCTAGCCAGTGAGGTATACAAAAGAGCAAAGAACACATTTGTAAAGTATTTGTTCTTTAAATTCACTACACCTTTCCTCTCTTTCTTTTGTCAGAATTTACTGATTCAGAATGCATGGAATGATCATCTTATGATGCCTGACAGATGACAGGAGTAGCAGATGCTGAAAGTGTATATTTCTTATTACAAATAATTGAATTGAATATTTAAATTTATGTAAACTTTAAGGGGAATTAGGATCTGTAGTTTTTAAATGCGATCAGATAAGTGAACTCATCCCGTTAATCCTGCAGCTTTACTGTCGGCATGCACATATCAGGAGCATCATTCTTAAATGTTTGATTACATTTAGTAATTTGAACATTTTTTAGTTTTTGTGTACAAATGACACTTTTGGAATATGCTGGACAGTTAAGTTAATTTAGTTTAATTTTGAAATTAAATTCTGTTCACTTGAAAAAAGTTATACATTTTGTTGAATGAAACATGTTATGTCACATCAACTTGTGCTATATATTTTTGAGAGTTGAGGAAGTCATGTTGAGCACCTGATTTGTGTAAAGTGACTAAGTATATGAAATGGCTGTCTTCTGGGTTGTAGCATGATATGGTCTGGCAGAAGTGTGCTGTCACTTCAGAGGTATTGCTGCCTCAGAAATGTTGATAATCTTCTATTAGACTACCAGACATGGTGCCACAACCCAGAAGACACCCATATTTATACTTATAGTTGCAGCTGCGAGAACCTCAAATCCTACCTAATAGAAACTATTTCTCCTCACTATGTGTAGATACAATATATGGGTGGTAGTTTCAACTGAAATTTATCTTGGCATATATATTTTTCAAAACTTTTGAGGTGTCACATACTAGAAAACCAAAGTCTATGTTTTTACCATCATGAGATGATAAAATCTCAAACACTAAACATGTACAACATTTATATGTGGTACAAAAATCTGTTGGAATATACTATAACTTTGCTTCTGAGGTGAATTATTACTGACTGTATGACTAGGATTGTGTTTCCAGTAGGAGTAATATCTAATCTGTAGTGAGGGCAGTTTGGCCAGGGGGTTAAATGTCCAGTGAAGCTGACTACTTATTTCCATTTAGTGCTGGTGTTTAGAATGCATGGAGCCTTGCTGTCACACTCTCACTGCACCACTATTATGTGATGCTTAGGCAGAGAGGTAATCTTATCTGTATATTCTGAAAGTGACGTGAGATGTAGACTCACAGGATTCTACTGGCTTCCAGTATGTGTCTCTATATAATTGTTATTTTTTGACAGTTTACTGGGATAATGATTGTTTTTATTATATTGTATGATAGAAGTTATAGGAAACTGTAGGAAATGTGCTTTGAATTTGAGCTTTTAAGGTGATTGTCCTTGGGGATGTTCCATGTACTATAGTAGAAGTTTACTGATGTTTCAGAGGTGCTTGACAGGGCAATGATGAAGGTAGTAAGCACCTCTGAAACATTGTTAAATGTCTACCAGACTATGTGGAATATTGCAGAAGACAGTCATCTTCACACTCACTGTTGAGATCTTGAAATTTCACCTTGAGCTCTTAAGTCTATGCTTTAGTTCTTGATCTGCATGACTTCTTGTTTATTTAGTTTTATAAACTTTCTTTCTTAGTATTTGACATTGCTTCTTTTCATCATCTGTTTGTTTTAATAATCGAGAATGCATCTGTGATGTAATTTATTTTGTTGCTAATCAGTGCTACATAATAAGCATATTTTTATATAATCAATATTTTTATTAATACCTAACTGTAATGGTATACCTCAGGGATGATACAGAACAAGTTTACTATTGAAATGTCATTTTGGTATGTAAAAGACTTGCTTATGAACTTTTATGTGGTTAGTGGGAAGCAAAGTAACCACTCAGTTTTCCCTTAAATTTTATGTATATCATTTACCACACACACATTTCTTGTCTTATATCTAGAAGAAGCAATTTAATTGTGAAAGGATTAAATTTTGAATGAAAGCTCTGTAAATAGTTGGGAAACTTGTACAATACACCTTCAAATTTATATTGCATATTTGACCATAGAACTATGACATCACACATTTCTTTATTCCACTTCATTCTTCTTCTGTAGTAGCCTACTACTTGATAGTTTGATACTTTTTTATAGAAGCATTATGATTTGTAATATATGGACATCTCATTGGTATTTTGTAAAGAAAATGGAAAAATTAGTCTTTTAAAGTTTCTTTCACATATAAGATTGGAACATTAGTGTTGAGCACACTACATAGTTTACAAGTTTGATGTGACTGTATGTAGAAGCTATCAGAATTATTTTTCATTCTACTTATTTATTTTATAAGGAAAGATAGGCTATATTAAAATGATTTGAAGCTATTGATGGATTTTCTTTAAACTTGATGTGATCATGATCAATTGACTTGAGATAACCTCCACTTCAAGCAGGGAACCAATATATGTGGTAATAAATAAAAAAGCAGTTTTTAATACTTCTTTTTTAGACTAACAACAAAATGGCAATCGTTTGAAATCAT